TCTTCTCTGTGTATTTTTCATTCCGTTTGTTTATTTATTTGTTACTCCATTTTTCTTTTGGAAAAAGGAGCAAGCAAGAGGGTGTTATTAAAATGTTTAGGGATTTTGTCATCGTATCTAGAGGGCAGTTTTAATTTTCTTTAGGAGATCGATGCTCAAAATTTTTATCTTGTTTTCATATATTTTTTCTTTTATTAATCCATTTATTTATTTTCTTTTCGATTAATAGGGAGCATGTGTTATTAAAATTTTCTACGTTTTATAAATTTATTTGCCAATTTTATTATATCTGGAGGATAGTTTAAATTTTCTTCGGGCGATTAACTTTCTATATACTTTTATTTATTTATTTTACGAAAACGTGAATTTTTTAAATATTTAATATCGTTTATACGTACGTGTTAAACAATTTTTACCATAGGGATGAAGTCTCCTGTATTATTCTTCTTATTTATTTATTTATATTGGATAAGGAAGTGTATTTTATAGTAATATTTAATTTTGTTAGTATTCGAAATAATATCTGCAAGATAGTTTAAATTTCCATCAAAAGGGTGTGACCCTCGATACTTCGAAGGTCTGAAAGCTCCGCTTCCATGGACTTATATTGCTCGACTTCTCAATCTTCCAATTACAGAACAATTTTTCTAGAAAACGCTCTTCTCTTAAACGACTTGCCAAAGGACGGGACGGAGTTAACAACTTGCAAGAAGTTTCTCGGTTTATTAATCCTGCACGGAATTGTTTGCTCGGTCCGTTTGCTGTGAGAGGACGTGACGGTCCAATTTTTACTAAACTCCCCGAGTTTTTCATCGCGAGGATTTTATCGTCTCGTACTCGATTATGCCAATTAAGATCTTACGCGTTATTAGTCTCGTCGAAGAAATATCAACCTGACTTTCGCAGTACCGCCAGATCAATCGTTCTTCGTGGAAATCTCGTGGAAAATTCATGAAAATTGCCCCTCGAAATAAGTATACCTCTGCAATCCCCTAACTCGACTGTCCTTTCATAAATCGACGAAAATCCAGCATATACCCACAGATGCAATTCCGTGACACTCTTATCTCAATTTCGAACCGTAGAATCGCACCGTCTTCCATTAATCTCCTCTCCTCGAAATGGCCGACCGCTCTGCTAGAAATTAATTGCCCCGCTGGAAGTATCGCTATCGAGTAATGTGAGTGCGTATATCTGTCATCAGCCACGCGAAATTAAATTGGCGCGTGCAGCATACATTACCGCGACTTACGCAATGGAAAATGGCCGGAGAAAATCAGTCGTCGGGGTACGGACACGTCCGTTTACCCACGCACACGCGTGCAACTATTTCTTCGTGGATAAAACAGCAGAAACATCCTTCTTTAACGAACCATAAAATTCTTCGACAAATCATACCCGCCGGGAACTGGATCCCATTTCGAAATCGATTTTCGCCCGCCATTCGTCGAAATTGGCACCGTTGCATGTATCACGGGATTTATATGCCGGATCGACAACCATTCGCTCGTCACGAGGTGTAGGAATAAATGTAATAGGTACCACGGTCGGATAATCGCCGAAACGGGTTGAAAATAACGAATCGGCATTACCTTTAATCGGTACTCTGGATCTGCTACAAAGTATCAGCGCCATGATTATTGCTGGCATAAAGGGTTACACCGAAGATCGATTTTCATGGAACCGATATTAACTCTTTGCGGCACAGGATTTCAGATAATAGAATAGACTCGTGTTGCATGCAAATTTTATTGCGTTTGAAATGAAACAAATTGGAGTAGAATTAATTTTGATAAAAATTAACCCTTTACACTCGACGACTTTCTGGTTAAAGAAGAGTAGGAGTTCAAAGATTTTCTGGTATAAAGCTGACGATATTTATTTTAGCAGTAAATGAGAGACCGTGTAATAATTAATACATAGAGTTATTTGACTTCGATATTTCGCACATTATTACATTATATTAAATTTGACATATTAATTAATATATCCATCTTCGAAATTTTGTCCAGTGGCGACTGAAGGATGCCTCTCGAGTGCAAAGGGTTTATTTACTTTTATGATTTTTCACATAAAATCAGGAAAAAAAAGATTGCCACAATAAAACTTCCTCTTGCAACAATTGATGAACCTGTACTGGCATGTTGAATGTTGCCAACATAAATGAATACATTTATAACATTTGTCGAAGGTATCATCAACTGCTTTACGTAAATAAGGCAAAATATAAACCTATGCATATGCAGTTATTATAATACTTCGAGGTAGGAGTAAAAATGTCCCACCATGCATTACGGTGCATCGAAATGGTGAGACACTTTTAACCCTTTGCACTCGTGAGGTGACTCTCGGTCACCATTTAATCAGATTCTAAAGATCGGCGTTAATTAATATATCAAATTTAAAATTACCTAACGATATGTGCAATGTCGAAGAAAAATAATTCTATGTCTTAATTTGCCATTTCTCATTTAGCATTTTAAAAATATCGTCGACTCTATGACAGAAAGTCCTTCGAATTACTATTTTTCCGTAACGAAAATGTCGCCGAGTGCAAAGGGTTGATCCCAGCGTGCCCCAAAGAGTTAACCCCCCGATACCCGTAGGAATTTTCAAAGCCGAGTTGGTCGATCGGGCCCATTTCTGACGACCATGGATTGCAGCCGGGCGTTTATATTTCATCTCCGATCCGCGCGAACACGCTCGAGAACCGTGCACGATGTTTTATGCTCGATCGGTGCCGGCCTGGTCTCGATTCGAAAAGCGAAATTGTTGGCCGGTTGGCGCCGAGAGATCGCTCGACCTCGACGTGCCCTAAGGGCCTTGCAGTGAAATTGCATGCGTAATTACTGGAGCGTGGACGATACCACGTTGCATATCCGTGTTAAGTAAATTAAACGCTGCCACACGGGCATGGCCACCACGAGAGCAACGTGTCCCCTTATTCTTCCATGTATTCTACTCTTGCGTTACACGCTCGTGTGCTCGTACGCGTTGCCAGGATTTTGGCCAAATAATTTGGATATTTGCAATTACTTTATATCGTATGATTCTCGGAAACGTCAATCTCCTACTGCGTCTCTTGTCGTTGTAAATGCAAATATAATCGTCTTCAGTGATCCGTGGTTCAAATGAAAAATTCGATGATTTAAATAATTTTCCATACTCCGTTTTTTCGTTAAGATTATACTCGAGGTATAAGCATCATCTTTATTATAGTCACAATGATTCTCTGCATTCGTCGTAGTGCGAGTCGATACGTAGACGAAAATTGTTGGAAATTGTCGAGATCGGTAATTAACATTAAAATTAACACTTCAATGATCCACCTGTAGCGATAAACTGCTTCAGTAAACATGGAAAAACGTATGTGTATATTCGTATTTCTATGCGAATATAAATTTGATTTACATATTTCTTTGCACGTTATTATACAAAAAAGTCATTTAATATACTAACATCGTTTGAATAAGCGAAGAGAAAAATGTTAATTACTTAGTGTCAGTTTAGTGTGTTCATATTTAACGTTGCCGAGAGTGCAAGTCCAGGATTCGTTTCTTAATAGGATTATATAAATATCTGACGATACTTGTATCTGTAAAATAATTTTTCCAATTCGATTCATATATGTGCCTATAATTATGAAAGTGGTCTAAGTTAGTTATATTTGCTTCTGAAATATTAAAAGCTTCGTCCTTTAAATACGTCATGAATTGTAAAATTAATTACGATAAAACTACAAACTTAGTGTAATGATTCAATTCTTCACTGTTTTGCAGAAAATAAATATATTTTATCGTAATATAAATGAATGCGACACGAAATAAATTATAAAATCGTTCCTCTTAAGTCGATGACTTAAACCACTTTCATAATTATAGGCACATATCTGCTCCTCGCTTACATTAAAATTATTCTTGCCTCGTGTGGAATATCAAATTTGAACATTCGAGTAGCCATATCTACGATATAGATATTTCGAAGAATTAATTCTATCTGTCTCTAAATTAACACTAGAACTACCGATCTTTGATGGATACCTAACTATAACGTGCACAGATTATAGTAATTTCAGCGATACGATGAACATGAGTGAATATATTGATCACAGTTCTTTCTTAATACGAGTCGATAAAAATTTTATTCTTAAAGCATGTGTTCGGTGATTGCAGAAAGGAAAATTCTGGGACCAGTTATTATGACTGGGTTGGTAGTTCTAGTGTTAAACCAAAACAAAGCCTCCTGCGTCAGGTGCTTTCGGATTCTAATGATCGTGCCTTCAAAATCTGTAAAATCCAATACAAATGCTCATACTCGAATGTACTCACTCACCAGTATAACTGGTCTCGCGATTCTCTGAATTTCGGCCATCGCTGTTTCTCAAAAGCCACATTCATCGAACGGAAGCTGGCAAAGTTGTGCACGAACGCTGCAACCGCACACGATCGACCTGGTCGCGTGATTCTTCGAATTTCGGCGATGTTGGTTTCTGAAAAACCATATGCATCGAACGGAAGCTCTCGGAGCTCGTACTGGAGCCCGTGAGATCCAGGACGAAGGACCGACCTGCAACCGATGGCTGATACCCACGCGGACTCGAGCCGGTGACGGTATTCCGCGAATCGATTCATTAGCGCTTCGTTCCGCCTGGACTTATTCATTCAGCTGGTACACCGTTAGCCCGTTACGCAATCGCGTGTCCACTTACACTTTTGGCAGCCTTGGTCGTTCACCGACCAAGCCTCCTCCAGGTGGATTTTCCGCGAACGGCCCACACGTGCATCGCACGGTTGCATTCTCCGCTCGCTCGTCCGACCCCGTCGAGGGAGCAACGCGTGCACGAAGGAACACACGTCGGGTCGCGCGCGTGCAACGCGTGTGTATATACGCGTGCATTAGCGACCAGTCAGCGTTTTGATCTCCCACCAGTTTCTATTGTGGCGAACGCGGGGACCAGGCCGGCAACAGGCCATCTTGGTAGCAGCCAGTCGTTGCCTAGACCCCGAGGACGTCGCGAGTGTTCTCCTCGCCGCGAGGACGTGATCGTGCTCTCGTGTTTTCTCTCCGTCTATCTCGTGCCTACCGTCCTCGTCTGTCTGTCTGTACACGGTGATGCTACAGCGATCTGTGCCCGGTGTGTGATTGAGTAACAGTGATCCGGCTGAGTGCACCGCTGCCTTTGGGTTACCTTCGAGGACATGAGACTGCGACCACGGGATGCCACCTTACTGGTAAATTATTCTGGATACTTGCTCGCATTCCCCGCCGGATATATCGCTTAAAGCCGGATGTTTGGCTGCATCGTTTCGGACTAATAGGGGATCGGGTCCGTGGTCGTCAGTATCCGAGGTCCTTGTAATTCGAGGATCGAAGTGGTGATGCGTTGCTGGAAGGGCGGATTGTCTTAGGGATGGGTAACGCTGAGTCGACAGTTTTCTGGAAAATTTGTGGCCGTAGAGGGTGGACTGGATCGTGGATAAAATGGTGCAGTGAGCTCGGTTTTCGTGCGAATGGAAAACACCGTGCAATTGTACTATTTTTAAGTGTCAGTTGATTAGTCTGGCTAGTTTTAGGTGTAGGATTACGGAACTCGGCCGTGATAAGTCACTCGTCGTTTATGTGTATTCTAATCCAGTAATTTTATTTTTGCGGTTCGAGTCATGTACGCGAGTGTACATCACACCGAATTATTCACGTTGGCAGCAGCGAATGTTCGAGCAGTTCTATTATCGATGCGTGATACATTTCTCAGGACACTCGCAATCAATCCCTCAAGCTAGATCAAACGGATCATCCGAGATTTTAAAAAATTGTTCAAAACCTGCTCTTCGGAGTCTTGCAAATCGTACATAGCATAATGAACATGGTGATAGTAGGAATATCATTCTTCTAGAAAATTCTCAAATCACTTCGGAAGATTCTATAACCTCTACAATGATAACAAACCTCGCAGTGAGGACAAAGCCCTCTGCTTCCGGAACATTCCACAATCACAGTCTATTGCCTCCTATTTACAAAAACTTCTATTCCTTGAAATTCAAAGGACCTCTACTACGTATACCCACGACACGTAGTTTCTACGATAATAACACAAGCGTCATCCTCACTCCTATTAGAGGACTCGAGGCCAGGGCAAAGACCTTTCTTCAAAATTTCGCAACGGAAATATGACAACGGTCGTCCTATTTCCAAACATTTCTGCTTTCCAAGACCTGAAGGATCTTTGCCACAAATATCCACGACATGCATAGAATTTTTGTCATAGTGACAGGATCATCGTAACTACCGTCAGAAGACTCGCGAACAGGGCAGTGACCCCTACTTCTTCTAAAATTTCGAAATGACGATAATTGTCCCATTTCCAAACACTTCTACTATCCAAGATGAGAACGATCTCTGTCACGCATAATCAGGACATAGAATTTTTATCATAGTGACAGGAATGTCATTCTAACTCCTGTTAAAAAACTCGTGAACAGGACAGTGACATTTACTTCCTTTAAAATTTCAAAATGACGACAATCGTCCCATTTCCAAACACTTCTACTATCCAAGATGAAAAACGATCTCTGTCACGCATAATCAGGACATAGAATTTTTATCATAGTGACAGGAATGTCATCCTAACTGCTACCCGAGGACTCGCGAACAAGGCAAAGACCTTTACCTCGTCCAAAATTTCGAATTGACGGCAACTGTTCCATTTCCAAGCACTTCTGCTCTCCAAGACTCGAATGATCTCTATCACGTATAATCGCGACATTAAATTTCTACGATGGTGACAGGAACATCACCCTAACTCCTGTCAAAAGACTCGCGGGCAGGGCAAAGACCTTTACCTGCTGGAAAATTTCGCAACGAATGTATGACGACGATCGCGTCGGTCGTCGAACCGAATTCCCACGGAGTGGTGCGTGAAATATTTCCGGCCTTGTCCGCGGCAATTATTCGGAAAGCGCGCGGGACTCTACACGCGGCGCAGCCCCATCTGCGATGCAACAGGTGCAAGGGTGCATTTGAATAATTGGAACGAACGGGCGAATGGTCGCATCCGAGTGGGGTAGCGCCGGTGTCTCGGGATCGATCGGCTCTTTCCAGCGAAGAACTCGATGGTCCTGGATCCATTTCCACCGTCTGGGAACGAGGGATCCTCATCGGTGAAACGATTGCTCGCTGGTTGCGCGCTTCCTTTCATTTCGTCCGTGAAAAGTTCATCGAGGAGAGTCCAGGCTGCGACGCTGAGAGCAACCGCGCAACTGGTTCCGACCGATTTGGAATTTCTTCCCTGGCCCGGTTTCCGTGGCTTTCAGCCGATCCATCGATCCACTCCCTTCGCTCGAGCAGATCCATCATTTTCCTGCGCCCGATATGATGGATACAACACGAGCAATACGCTGACAACTTTGATTTAGAGAGCCGTCTCTCTCTCCTCTCCTCTCCTCTCCTCTCCTCTCCTCTCCT